GTCTGTTTTACATATAAATTTTGAATATAACTGTTTAGAGGAAATAATATGATTTTTTTTTTAGTCACACTAATACCGCGGATCAGCGGGATTGATAACTTCGATCCCGCAACTTTGCGGGTTGAATTTCCTAATTATGACTAATATTATACTTTCTCGGTGTGCTGATTTCAGATCTGAAGTCAGATTGTTTGTATCAGCTTTATTTTTTGAGATATAATTAAAACGCATTTTTAAAGAAAAATTTATTTTTTATTATGAAACCCATTAGAAAAACACCCACTACTTATCCAAAAATTTTCTTTATAAGATTTCCTTGATTTACTTTGTTCACGAGGGCTGTTCTTAATGCTCCAACAAAATATATCTGAGGAAAAAAATATATATACATACATATGTGTAAGCGCCAATATATTGTATTATTATAATTAGTAATTTAGACTGATAAGAGTAAGAAAGTTAATAAGTCTAAGAGGAGTTGTAACATAAGATGGAGTTCAGTTGGAAGTCCGTATCAGTTAATCACTTCTTTCAATTATCATTCCACTCAGTTGCAATTCCTTTTTCATACCCAAACTCATTGGCGCCTGCCAAGGGGGTGGCTTCAAACAGAATGGCGTTAAAAAGGGAGTACAACAAAGAACAGAAGGAAATATATTACGGAATATTTTATACATCCTGATAGAAGCAGTGGCAAAACAAAAACACAATACACAAAGAAAATGCATTGTAAACCAAAGCGAAACTTCAGATAAATTTAGGAATAAAAAATGCATTGAAAAATTAAGTAAGTAAACTTTGTGTTACAGATGATTGTAGTTACAAGTATCTTATGTGGGTGGAGTTGTTTGCCGGGTAGGCAGAGAAAACGAAAGACGAACATACAGGAGACACGCCAAACCCGAAAGGGCACAGCCGCTCGATTCACAACACACGAGTATACTTTTGGTGGAACCATATGAGCGCAGGAGGAACGCAGCATACATACAAAGTTTTAACGTACACACCCACATATGTATGTATGTATACTCTAGGAGCAGCCTCAGCAAATACATACATATGTATGATTAATCCAAATATCGGGATGTTTTGAATTAAAATCTTAAACTGTGTTATATTCAAACTCTATCAAGGTATGTACCTATTAGCTTTAACTCACCGTTTAAATCCTTCGTCAACTGGGAACGCGTCGACATTTTACCCAATTTGTGCAGAATTTTTGCGGCGAAAGTCAAGTGGAGCGCAACTGGAGCGCAGCAATGCGCGCCAGCAAAACAGGATTTACCGGATACTTAAAGAGTAGGCAGTGGTGGTGCAGCAGCGCGAGAAGGGCTTGTCGTTGTTGCCAATCAGGCTAGTGGCCTTCTGCGCCCTACCACCAACACGTTCGGGCTTTGTTGCCTTCGAAGTGAATGCTTTTGGTTGATAGTCGCCTTCTTCTTTCTTTTTTCGCACAACTAACTAGCGTTTCTTAATTTTTGTTAAACTGGACGAACGCGTCTGTGGCGGAAACCGGATTTGTAAGTTAAATTCCTTGATTATTTTAATTTTGGTTTAATACAGATTTTATACCACTTTCTTCCGCTTCACTCACCCATACAAGTCACGAACTCTATTATAAAACATTTCGCGTTTAATTACTTTCTAAATATAACTTAATTTACAAGTAAATAATAAACTCCAATATTTGGGAATTTCAGCTTCTTTCAAGCCACTTTGTATGCGTTTTGCACTTTTCTTCACTTTCGCACAAAAAACTCAATCAACGAACTTTAAAACAACAAACACACTCAACCATAGAGAAAAGTGGAGATGTGAAAATTCACCCTCTGGGTTTGGTAAATTTCCTGTTCAGCACTTCTAGCTTGTATTTCGGAACTTTTCACATACAAACTAAACAATTTTTGCCACCGAAGCCTGTTTTGCGTTGCATTCGTTGCAATTTCATTCAAGATTATCACTTTAATTAATCAAAAACTTTCCACTTTTATCACTTATTTCCCGTATTATCAAAAATCGCAACCGACCGGAGATGGTGATGAAAACAGAATACTTGTCGAAAACCATCGCAAACACAACTTGGCTCATCTGCATGATTAAAGCTGATGCCAGATAAAACTTTGTAGCTTTGCGTGACATTTATAACTTTGCCAGCAAAGCGCCAGACGCAAAAGGTATGCCACAATGAACGCCAAGAAAACAATGTTGTACCGCTTTTTTACTCATCAAAGTTGCTGTGGATTTTAATTATTTTGATTTAAAATTATCAGCAATGTAATTAAGTTTTATGTTTCTGCATGAAAACNCGAAAACAGAATACTTGTCGAAAACCAGCGCAAACACAACTTGGCTCATCTGCATGATTCAATTATTTACCTGTCAGTTGTCTCGCTCACACGACTCTCAGCACCGAAACGTGTTGCCTCTTTGCAAATATACTTGATAAATTTTAGGTTTCGTGTAAAATAGTAGTATTCGTTTTGTGCAATATATATATACATTCAAAACACATTTAACTGATTACAATATAAAAAATCTCAAATTGTGATATTTACATAAAGCTCTTTAAAGTTCTATTTTAATTTTGTGACCTTTTACAGTTTTTATACCTGTAAATAGCACATAAAATATATAATTCTCTTTGTATATCTTATTTCATCGTTTAAAAAGCAATGCTTTCTCACACTCATAGGAATTCACTAAATGCATCTTAATACTAATCGCAATCACTACTAAGAGATTTCAATCCCTCTAATTTCCCTCCATTCTAAATGCAACCCTTTCAAGGGAGTTTCAAGACGCAGCTGTCAATAATTATCTAAAAATACGTTTATACTATCACTAATTTTGACAAAACAAAAAAAAAAATACGTTTAGCTTACATATGAAATATGCAGAGATTATCGAACCTTATTCCCTCTTATGTGAATAAAAAACAAATTATAGCCCGAAAAAACTGAATACGCGAGCTACGGACTACAGCTGTGAAATTAGATTTCCGCGTATACTTATGTAGATAATCATTTTGGCGACGACTGTCAGACTAGACATATAAGGTTCCTAATCTTCTTTTATGTCAAACTCATACAAATTCATGATGTCGCTGTCGCGTTCTAAAAAAATTGACAAAGCGTTTAGATAATGCAGATAACAAATTCGAAGCTTTCTCCCGATTGGAAGCTGTGTCCCGTAACTCTTCGTTTTCAATAGTTGCGTTCCAGATGCTTCACGATTTGCAGGTTTTTACAGGAAGTCGTTCCAGGTGACCACCTCCCATAAGGTTTATTAATGGGGAAAACAGCTGTTCCTGCAAATCGTGAATATCGTGAAGCACCTGGAACGCAATTATAGTGTTCAGCACATAACCAATTCAACAAATGTCAGCTTTTGACATTTATTCTTGTTCTTCTTCGGCTCTTCTTCTGCTGGCTGAAATCTGCTAGGAAAATTTTCTTTAGCAAGAACTTATTTATTTATTTATTTGCAACTCTTCCGTGCTCTCTTGCAAATTTTTTGGGGTATTATACAGTTTTCCTGTAAAAATTTGCAGGTTCCAGTACAAATTAATACTTACTATTTGTTAATATACACACCTATTATGAAACATTCAAACCGATAACTTTTCAGTGTCCATTCTAGTTTTATCGATTACTTTTACGAAGACTGGGAGAAATGTCAAATAAAGGAGTAAACCAAAATTAAAGCTACCGAGAAAAAGTGGTCCAAGGCGCATTCATGCAAAGTGGTGTTGCCAGATAAATTGAGATTTTCGACACGGTGGTTCTGAATGTCAAAATGATGTGTTTGTTGCACATTAGTGGTTATTCTTGCTGTCATTGTGCGTAGAATTTGTATATAATTTTCAAAGCAAACAATGCTTTATGCGTGTGTCAACCGCTTCATATGTTTTTCCATGAAGATTTGTAAAAGAAGCGGAACAAACTTGTAATAATCTTAAAGATTTCGGGAGCTTTTTCTTTCAGGGCATATATTTACGTGTATGTTGCACATTGAAGTTTGATGGACTTGGGCGATTGTAAGATATTAATCAAAAATTGTCATATTTCATTTAAGTTCGATCTGATTGGCTTGATGACATTTTGAAAATGGTATGTTAAAAAAGCAAGTTGCCCGCATGAGAAAACGGGACAAAGTTAAAATAGAAATTTGACAGCTGTTAAGACACATTTAGCAGAAGGTGGAGACGTGGGGTTATATACACATCAGCTGCTTCTTTTCTACTCGGTTTTATTCTACTCGGGTAAATTCAACCTACATGCATAAACACCTTTTTTAGTCGAGCTAGCAAGCCTTCTCGTGTTGAATATGCACATCTTTTTTACACCGGTTGAAATCTTAACACGGGTTGAATTTTGTACATAGAAAGTGTTCACATGAGGCAATTTTACACGCAACTTTTAGTTGGAAGCACCAATCGCCTGGTGTGAACGGCCTTTCAATTAATCGCTCCCAAGTTGCCTCTAAAGTTGCCTGTAAATTGCCTCATGTAAACATCGTATAACTCGAGTTGAAAATTGACCGTGTATGGTTATTGGATCTACCCAAGTTGGATATAACCGATTAGAAAGGAATCATAAGCATAATAAGCGTTTCTTTAGCTATTTTAGTTACTTTGTTACTAAATTTTTTTCTTTCTTGCAGAAGACATCAAAATTATAGTGTGTATACGTTAAATCACTGTCCAATTTACCGTCTTTAAAATAATCAAGGCAGTGATTGAGACGATTGAAAAAGTTTGCATGAATTAGTCAAAATATGTGCATGTCATGACAGTATTTTCCCTACAGTACAAGCCCTAAATTAATTGCAAATCAAACAATTTTCATAAACTTTCATTAAATTTATCTACAAATAAAACTGAAAACTCATTTTGAAAACAAGTACCTATATCGATAACTTCTGTTTTTAATTAACACTGACATAAATGCAGTCCGGCAACACTCTGGGAAACTGTTGAAAAAGCGTATTTGGAGAGAACCGAGTGCAGTGTTTTGCGAGCAGTTTTATAGTAAATTACAAAAAATGGTTAATTTAAGTGTAATAAATAGAACGATGCGATTGCAAAAGATGTTGCTGCCTTTAAGTAAGTAATTAAATATCCTAAGCACAGCAGCGTAATGTCGATTAACATAGTTAAGTGTGAAATTAAACGATTTTCTGCTCGTGCTTTGGTAAAAAATTTCACAACATTGACATAACGTCCAATGCATAACGTGCTGTCAAATTCCTCTGAGAACAGTTCTTATGCGCTCAGCTGAGCAGAACAATTGAATTCTTGTTGCGTTTATTAACTACATATACAAATAAAAACAAAAAGGAATAAATCTAAATTTCTGTCAAATAAATTCTTTGTTTTAAACGGAAAACTTTTCTATAAGGGACATTTTCAATTTCCAACCGAATACTGGAACAAGTGTGAAGATATCTACAACAACTACTACATCAAACGAGGGGGAACAGTTATGAAGCATATGGAGCATCCGCAGTTGGCTCACGACTTACCGGCACTGGGATCGTGTACACTAAATTTGGTCGACCTTATAAGACAACTAATCAATGAAAAACAATATGAAGGTGTTGCTTTGTTATTTACAAGCAAAAGTGATGCAGAGCGCAATACGATGTGCCTTGAGACCGTGGGAATGGAGTTATATCATGACATTTGCTTACCTAATCTTACTTCCGAAATACACGATAGTCAACTGCCTTTATACACATGTGCTGAGGAGTTATTATATTTAATAGCATCCCATGCACCCATGGAAGAGTTGTTGCTCGAACTGCTTGAGATTATTGAGGAAAACGATTCCGAATATGTATTCACCTCAGCACTACGTGCACTGCAAACGGTGTTACTTCGTATGGGTAACAAGAAACCACGCGCTCTCGAATGGAGCTTGAACTCTATACATACCCGGCTAGAAAAATTGCCACTACCAACGTTTCTAAAAGAAGGCTATGATAGCAAGCAAGAGCGTCTACTGGAACAAAATGCACAGATTGAAAAGTTGTTGATGTTTTACATTACTGTAGAACTATTCTACGGCCCACTACTTAGAGACGAGTTGTCCCAACTGCGACCACCTGATCAGGTGTTTTTTGATACAGGCATGAATAGACGAAATGTCATGTGCTGCTTTTTAATACATATGCTTGGAAAACCACTTGCGTTGCTAGATTTAACTATTGACGAACGTAAGACTAATAGCTTTACCGCACAGTGCGCACGAAAACTGACCGAAGGTGCAACACGCTGTTTGGTGGATCCTCTCCGTCTACTGTCCGTGGGTGAGCACCGTATTCGTTGGAATCGCCGCTTGAATGCCGATAAGGGTGTCCATGAAATGAGCTCTAACAACATATTTCTAATTGAGGAAAAATTGCCCCTAGAGTCACTAGCAATTTACTTCTACATGGTCTTGGTAGAAGAGATCAGTTTTTCTTCTGTGCCTAAAGTATATTCACCAGTATACATATTCGAAGCCGGTCTCTACTATGCGAACGAGTTATTGGCACATGAAGAGTCGGTACTACACTATCGTGCAGTTTTGTTGGTGAAACGTTTATTAGATAATCTGTTCGAAACAGATATTTCTGCAGTTTCTTTGGAATTGGAGGTACATAAAAATTTTTGCATCTCTCTATGCAATATCATTGGATATTCATCACAAAATCAGCTTAGGCAAACCGGTGTTAAAGTGCTGCGCCAGTATATTTTAAAATTTGACGATGAAGGCAAATATTTGGTACTAAAAAATTTGCTTCGAACCGTGGCGCACAATGGCATATCTGGCTACTTGGCGATCATGTATAAAGACGTTGTTTCTAATGCTTTAATTACAACGGCCACCGAGCTCCCAACCTCTTTCTCTGGGCACGATTTTCGTACTATTTTTCTACAATACATTTGTCGGTTGCCACATGGTGCAAAAACTGATCTTATTGATCATTCTGACAAAGTGATTTCCTCGCTCAATGCTTTACGATTCTTCGCCCTAAAGGATCAGCAAAATCGTACTGGTCTCTGGGACTTTATGCCCGAAATAGAACAGCAGTTTCTCGAGCCGTTGCGTAAGGGATTAGACATATCTGTAGCACATTATAAAGCGGAATTGAAACGAGTAGAAAATGGTTTGGGTGCTGAAGCAGAAGCAGAAGAGCGTAAAACTTTGGAGTTAATAGATATAAATATAGCGAATGCAACATCGGAGAGTGGAAATGTCGATTTGGAAGTTGGTCGTTTACGTAAAATTGAAATACTCAATCAGAACCTGTGCACATTTGATCTGATGCGAAGTATCCTGGGACGCACTGAAGAGTGTGTAGAGAATACGAGCAGATTGTGCAAAGTGCTGCAATAAAAATAAGTTATTTTGAAACTTTTTATTTATTATTAAAATAAATTAAAAATAAAATGACACCACTTTTACACTTAACTTTCGTGTTTTTACCAAAATGAAAAAGGTAGTTACTAACACAATTTAGATTTTAGGTTTTAGATACATTTATACAGCGAAGTTAAAAAAGGATTTGTTTCTTTAAAGGCGCAAATAGCACTTCAAGAAGAAGTTTTTAAATTTAAAATCAACAACTACTGTTTTAAATTTATTTATTCACGGATTCTTTTTTACTGCAGGTGCTCACAGCTCTTTACTAGCTTGCAGCGCACATGCTTCCCGGGTTCTTATGCAGCGATATCGTGCCCATTCAGACTTCAGTCAAAATAATTCATTAATCTGTAGACACCTCCCTAACTCAAACTCAACACCATTACAGCATCACCCAAATTGCACATATTTCAAGTCAACATACACAACAGATGCCGGTAGCTCGGAGTCCATTGAAAAGTTCCGTGAGCGCGAGGAGCTGCGTGAACGTGAATTTGAGCAGAAAAAGGCAGATGAAGAGAAAAAAGCTGAAGATGAGGCTAAAAGTGCAAAAATTGATGCTATACGCACACAAATTTTAGAGGCTGCATTGTCACATGTGCCCACACTGGGTTGGACACGTAATGCAATTGTGAAGGGCGCTGAGGAAGCTGGCTTTCCCAGCGTTGTGCATGGCATGTTTCCTGAAGGTGGTTATGCGCTCGTTTCCTACTTCTATGGAAAGTGCAACGATGAAGTTGTGCGACGTTTGCAGGAGGACACACAGAATGGCACTCTGGCAGTTGGCGATCCTTTGGACTTTTTAGTCCGTGCGGTGCGAACACGACTTGAAATGATAATCCCTTACAAGGCGCAATGGCCACAGGCTTTGGCACTGATAGCGATGCCACAAAATGCTGCCACATCGTTGGCTCAGGTCTTGACCCTGGTCGATGACATCTGCTACTATGCTGGCGATCGGTCTGTCGATGTGAGTTAGCATTTTGAAATTGTTAGAAAGTAATGCTAATCAGTTAAAAAAAATCTAATATCTTTTAAGCTGCCTGCTTAAAATGTGCTATGTGTCTTTGCGTGCATTTAACTAATAGTTTCTTTATATTTTCACAGTTCGGTTGGTATACACGTCGCATTGGTCTAGCGACAATATTAAAAATGACGGAACTATTTATGCTGCAGGACAGCTCGATAGATCATGCCAAAACATGGGAGTTCCTAAAGAATCGCATGGATGAAGCAGTACAAATACAAATGATGCTGTCACAAACTGAGGGAATGACACAAAATTTTACGCGTTCCTTTAACTCGGCATTTGTAACTGTGAGTAGTAATAGCAAACATTGGATCTATGTATTTACATATGTATGTACTTATGATATCAATTCTCTGTACCCCCAGGCACGCAACATATTGGGCATTGATTATTCGCGTAGGTAAAGCGCGCGCTCGAGTCACCAAATCCAAAACACCGCCAAGCTGAGAAAATTTCAAATATTCAATGTAGGCATAGCACATGGAAATAGCCATATAATTTAGTATTCGTTAAACGGTCTGTCTTTTTCATGCTTTCTGTATTTTGTTAACATCAAAGTCATAGATCAGTGATAAACTGGTTTTTCTTCTATGCGAAACCGATTTTCTTCAAATGTTTAGCGCTTAAGTATTAAGTTTAGTTATGACAATATTTAGTTATACGTTAATAAGCTGGTACCAAATTATTGAGAGGTACTGCATCTTTTTTTTTAGCTATTTATGTGATTTGTATGATTGTTTTGGTGTTTGCCTTGATAATGAACTCGCTCTCACGTTGACGTGTGTTTGTCCAACGACATTGCATCAATAGAAATATTTGTACATACATACATACATACGTATTAGCACATGCACCGCTCATGCCAAAACAAGGCGAACAGTTACCCACCTAACAATTTTGTAAATTAAATGCACTTGAAGCTAAGCAGCACAGCACATTGTTTATTACTTCTATACCTATAAAGATGTGTAATTGCTAAGTACCTACCTAGACATATAGATGGATAAAAAGGAAGGGAAGATGATTGCAACTTAAAGAGACTATAAATGAACTAAAGTGCTTAAAGTGAAATTATGATAATGAATGTAAAAGTGTGAAAATACTTAGGTACATATGTATGTAGTTAGCTCTTGATATTGATGACGAACGGAATTTTACAAAGAATAATAAACGAAAAATTAAGACAAAGGATAAATGTTTTTTTTCTTGTATGTAACAGCAGGAATGCTGCTGGAGTGACGGTGGATATCGATGCTGACGCCGCCGCACATACATATGTATGTATAGTACATATAAAACATATAGCTGAAAAGAGGCCTGAAAGCCTCAAACGCTTGTTGTGAAGTTCTACTCTAAGGCTAATGGCGTTGGTATAATAGCGAAAGGTGCTTTAAACATTATCTTACATAAGAAATGAGTGTCAGTCCTAGATAGCATATAAAATTGAATCCTAGAAATGTTATGGATTGCGACAAAAGAGGACAAAACGCAAAAGGACCCTGCCGTCTCTTACTTACGAAAGTCTTCATTTAAATGTTTGGTGATATGTTCGTTGCATTGAGTACACTGAAAACCCGAAACGTCAACGGTATATGTATGTATAAACATTTGTAATCTCTAATTGCCCTCAAACTTTGCAACAAATTCTAGTTTCCGGTAACAGACGAAGAGATCGGGTTGCTTCCTGAGGATCGCGATACTTTGTAGCAGGTTAAACTTTTCTGTCCAATTTGAATTAGATGCCCGTCTAAAAGTATTCGAAAAAAACGGATTTAAAAACCGAGTCAATCATTCCAATATGTAGACACGATGCTCAAACTCGGAAAGTATTCGAAGCGGTATCCGTTTGTGGTAGTAAATAGAGGAAGAACAGAAGTTGTTGTTGTAGCAGCAGCGCTAAATCCCCGGGGTTTCGTCCTGGGTCGTCTTCCTCCTCTGACTTTACAAGCCAGAGGCCGAGAAAGCGTTGGGGCGTGGTCCATAGAAGTTCTGGTGTCAGGGTTAGAGGTGCATTCGATGTGGTGTTGGGTGGACCCTGCCTGGATGCTGGGTATGTGTCTGTCACTCCTGGGTTCAGCCGGGAAAGATAGCTGTTAAGTCTGTGGCACCACCCTAGACGGAGTTGCGCTAGGGTGCACCTGGTTTCTCTCGGAAGTTCCGCTTCGTCGCCGTTAATGGGCGGCGGTCGGCCACCTAGGGTGTCTTTTCGGGTGCTGAGACTCGTCCTGACTGCACCGGTGTGTAGCTTGTTAAGCGCCGCTCTGTATTTTTCCGCGTCGAATGGGTGGTCTATGCACGGCTCAATGTCGGGTTCCCAGTCGGATCGTTTCGAAGCCGGGCGTTATTGGGGAGGTTTCAATGATGGATTCCCACGAGGAACTGCTTCGATAGAAGGATGTTATGCTATTTCACCGCCAGAATCGGGCTCCAGTTCCAGCCTGACCTCTTTAGTTCAGGTGGTGGACAGTGTGGGGGTGGATTTCGCAGGGTAGATGGTGAGGCTTCTGACAGTGAAGAAATTTGAGAGATCGGTAAGATAGTCAGTGTTTTTTCCGCAAAGGCTGTCGATGTTGCCATAGTCGTGCAATCATCGGCGTAGCTCACCAAGTTAACTACATCTGACGGAGGAGGCTGTTTTGCCATGCAGAGCCTAAATAGAGCCGGGGGGAGAGTACGCCNGTGAACATTTGTAATCTCCAATTGTACTCAAACTTTGCAACAAATTCTAGTTTCCGGTAACGGACGAAGAGATCGGGTTGCTTCGTGAGGATCGCGATACTTTGTAGCAGGTTAAACTTTTCTGTTCAATTTGAATTAGATGCCCGTCTAAAAGTATTCGAAAAAACGGGTTTAAAAACCGAGTCAATCATTCCAATATGTAGACACGGTGCTCAAACTCGGAAAGTATTCGAAGCGGTATCCGTTTGTGGTAGTAAATAGAGGAAGAAGAACAGAAGTTGTTGTTGTTGTTGTAGCAGCAGCGCTAAATCCCCGGGGTTTCGTCCTGGGTCGTCTTCCTCCTCTGACTTTACAAGCCAGAGGCCGAGAAAGCATTGGGGCGTGGTCCATAGAAGTTCTGGTGTCAGGGTTAGAGGTGCATGCGATGTGGTGTTGGGTGGACCCTGCCTGCATGCTGGGTATGTGTCTGCCACTTCTGGGTTCAGCCGGGAAAGATAGCTATTAAGTCTGTGGCACCACCCTAGACGGAGTTGCGCTAGGGTGCACGTGGTTTCTCTCGGAAATTCCGCTTCGTCGCCGTTAATGGCCGGCGGTCGACCTAGGGTGTTGTTGTTGTTGTTGTAGCGGCTACAACAACCCCGCTCAGGACGGTTGGTATCTCAGTCGTTGTCGTCAAGTTCCACTAACGGCAACCCTAGGAAGCGTGCAGCTTCTGTGCGGTTTGTCCACAGGGACAAGGCCGTTAGGGTTGTTAGGCTGTTTTGCCATGCAGAGCCTAAATAGAGCCGGGGGGAGAGTACGCCGCCTTGGGGACCGCTTGTTTAATTTCACGCGGAATGGACTTGGCGTTTCGGAAATCGACCGATAATAGTCATCCACACAGATAACTGGTTATCCGCCGTTTCGCACGATTTAACGTGTCGAATGCCTTCAATGGGTCAACCGCGACTAGGACCGTCCTATTACAGGATGGCGTTTAGTCCTGCTTTCGTGCTTGGCATTTTGCGGAATCCATGTTGGCGTTCAGATACTACGTCAGGCTGGAGAGGAGTAGTGCTTCCATTGTCTTTGCCACTGGGGATAGGAGGGAGATTGGCCGGTAAGAGTATCCTGCGTCCGCCTTCTTCACTGGCGGAGGGGATGATCCACCCAATTTCCACATCTCGGGGATGATTAATGTGGACAGTGACAAGTTGAAAGCTTCTGTGATGTACTCGAATCACGCAGGTCTTAGATTTTTCAGCATCCAACGCCTTGGATGTTTTGGCGTTGTTGACAGCTGCGCGGATCCGACGTTGTGGTATTGTCAAGTGAAAGAGCAACGTTGTCC